TTTTGGAAGAGCCTTTTTCAGAAGAGGAAGTTCTCTCTGCTCTGAAGAGCTATAATGGGGATAAAGCTCCTGGACCGGATGGTTTTACTATGAGGTTCCTTTTGGAGTGTTGGGAGGTGGTCCGTGAGGAGGTGATGGGCTCTTTTCATGCCTTCCATGCGCATGGCTCTTTTGAGAAAAGTTTGAATGCAACTTTTATTGCTCTTATTCCGAAGAAGGGAGAGGCAATGGATGTTAGAGACTTCCTCCCTATTAGTTTGGTGGGATGTTTTTACAAGTTGATTGCGAAATTCTTGGCCTCTAGGTTGAAGAAGGTGATGGATGGTGTCATTTCTGACTCTCAGAATGCATTTGTGGGAGATCGGCAAATCTTGGATTCAGTTCTTATCGCTAGTGAATGTGTTGATTACTGTTTGAGCAGCGGTGTTTCGGGTGTTCTTTGCAAGCTTGATATTGAAAAGGCATACGATCATGTGAGCTGGAGTTTCCTTCTCTACCTGTTAGAGAGGATGGGTTTTGGTGGGCGGTGGAGGAGAAGGATTCCTTTTTACATCTCTAGCGCTCGTTTCTCTGTCCTTGTGAATGGAGTGCCGACAGGTTTCTTCTCTAGCTCGAGGGGCTTGAGATAAGGGGATCCGCTTTCCCCTTTCCTGTTCCTTTTTGTGATGGAGGCTCTTAGCAGATTGCTGAAGAGGGCTGTGGAGCTAGGTTTTTTTAGAGGCTTTCGGGTGGGCAGGGATGTTGATAGTCAATTGGAGGTTTCTCATTTGATGTTTGCAGATGACACTATTGTGTTTTGTGATGCGGATGTATCCCAGCTGAGGTATTTGAGATGCGTTCTGATTTGGTTTCAAGTTGTTTATGGCCTTAAGGTTAATGTTGGTAAGAGTCTTCTTGTGCCTGTTGGGGATGTTCCGAAGATTGAGTTGTTTTGCTTACATCCTTGGATGTTGCACTGGCTATTTTCCCATTTCTTATTTAGGATTGCCTTTGGGTGCCCCTTCGAGATGTGTGGGGAGTTGGGATCCGGTTGTGGACAGAGTCGAGAGGAGATTGGCGGGCTGGAAAAAGCAGTACCTGTCCAAGGGGGGTCGGGTTACCCTGATTAAGAGCACCCTTTCTAGCCTTCCTACATACTTGTTATCTCTGTTTCAGATTCCTTCTTCAGTGGCTGAGAGAATTGAAAGATTGCAGTGCAACTTTCTTTGGGGGTCGGGAGAAGGAAACTTGGTTCGGTGGGATTAAGTGTGCTGTCCAATTCGGTTTGGAGGCTTAGGGTTTCGGAGGTTGTTGCCTTTTAATAAGACTCCCCTTGGTAAATGGCTCTGGAGGTTTGGGATCAAGAGGCATTGGTTATGGAGGAAAGTTATTGCTAACAAATTTGGGGAAAGTTATGGTGGGTGGTGCTCTTTGGCGATACGTGGTCCAAGGGGGGTGGGAGTTTGGCATTTCATTCGGAGGGGTTAGGTTGACTTCTGCAAGCATGTTCGTTTTCGTTTTAAAGATGGAAGGAGGATCAGTTTTTGGAAGGATCTCTGGTGTGGAGATCTCCCTCTTGCTCTCGCGTTCCCACGGCTCTATCGGATTGCTTCTCATCGACAGGCCATGGTTGTTGACTGTTATCATCTTGATAACGGGAGACACTCTTGGGATGTAGTTCAGGAGGCATTTTCAGGATTGGGAGATCGAGGATGTTTCTCGTTTTCTGGAGCTGTTATATAGCCAGGTGATTTCTTTTGGGGAATCGGATTGGTGGTTCTGGATTCCTAACTCGCATGGCCGTTTCGAGGTTAGGTCCTTTTTCAGATACCTTTCGGTTGGTCATGGAGATCCCTTCCCTTGGAAGTCTATTTGGCGGTCCAAGGCTCCCCGCAAGGTCGCCTTTTTTGCTTGGACCTTCTGTTCTGGGTAAGATTTTAACTCAGGATAATCTGAGGAGGGGGAATCAGGTGGTGGTCAATCATTGCTACATATGTTTGTGTAATGAGGAGTCTGTTGATCACCTCCTTTTACATTGCAGCATGGCCAGAGATTGTTGGGATTTGATGCTTCGTTTATTTGGAGTCCATTGGGCCATGCCTTTTCCTCTAGAGGGTTGATTGAGGCTTGGAAAGGCATCTCTGTTGGGGCTGGCATTAGGGATGTTTGGAGGGCTACGCTGCTTTGTATCTGGTGGTGTATTTGGCTTGAGAGAAATAGGAGATATTTTGACAAAAAAAAAAGAAGCCTGTTTCTATGCTTAAGTTCTCTGTTATTTCTACTATTTTTTGTTGGTTTTCAGGGAGAGATTATAGATCTATGGAGGAAATTATTGTTTTTTTGGCCTTTCTGAAGGTCTAAGGCGCCCTTTGGCCCTTTGTTTCCTTTTGTTTCTTTGGGCTCCGCTCCCCTTTTGAGCGTTTTTAATAAAATCTTACTTATCAAAAAAAAAAAAAAAAAGTTCTGGAATTTATGTGTCTTCTGAACTGACTGGATCTCTACTGGGATAGCGGAGGTGTTCCACATTGTTTTCCACAATTTGGACCCGGCCAAATACAGCAGGTATGGCTCTCTACCACTAACAACCATTCCTAGTCCGTCAATATTTTTTTGTTCTTTTACCACATTTTATGAGTTATTAGACTTTCTCATGAATTAATGAATACATCATTTTAGACAGTTAGAGTAAGGACCCTTAAATAAGCCTTTTAGTTATACTGCTAATAACACAGCCTTTGCTGAACATTTTCAAACCTAAATACTTTATTTTGGAAAGTAAAGCTAAAGTGTGACTGTTTGTTACTTCATTTTTGAAAACACACTACTTGTGCTGAGTTTGTTGCTTTAATCCAGAGACACCACAAAAACCTGATATTTCTGAAATAACATTACAGCAGTGAAAATCAATGAAATTGTACTATTCCCTTTTTAGTCGAGGCCTTTGAATGCATGAAAGGATTCTTTGAAAAAGCTACTAGCATTTACTTCCTGTTTAGTATATTGATCTGAGCCTTGGAGATGCTTATCTGGTTTGCAGCATGGGTTTGCAAGGAATATGAATTGGTCACTCGTCGATTCTGAAAATGTGGATGGGAATCCTGTTATTACTCTAGAGTTAAAGGATGGTTTTTACAGTCGTTCTATGTGGGATTTCAGCTTTCAAGCTCTATACAAGGTTAGTCCATTATTTACTCTCTTATGTACTGATTCACGGTTTGTCTAAACGGCACTGATGATGCAATTGCATTAATGTATCCCACCTACAAGTTGATAAAGATTATATGGACCTACATATTAAGAATGAATATTAAAATGTACCAAAGGGCATCTAGCCTAGTGGTATAATCTCTCCATCTTCAAAGAGGGGAGTGGTTCAAGTCCTGGAGTGGGCAAAGGGGTGTGTGTATTTGCTTTACCATTCAAAAAAAAAAAAAAATGTCTAGGATACTTGTACCTTTGTTGCCACCTTGTTTATCTTCATGGAACATTCCATTTCCTTTTTGTTAGTGTATAATATACAATTTTTTGTTTCTTTCGCTTTTCTGCAGGTCATTCTTGATTCCAAAAGCCTTTCAACAGAATAAAAGATCACAAATACTGACAAGAAGCCATTTTCATTTACTACTGCCCTGCATACATATTTCCGAGTAAGCATCACTATACATGCTTGTGAGATCCAATTACCCATTTGAATGAAGCCAAATTAAGTTTTTTGAACTCAAATCGATCTCAAAAGTGATTGCATTGTGGGTGGTGTGGAACAATTATAAAATCTTGCAAATTATTTGGACCTTATCCTCTATATTCACAGCATTTCCTGAACTTGTAAATTTTTGGGTTACATGAGTTCACGAAAATCTGGAGAATTTTATTGCCTTGATTTTAGATTCTCTCATGCAGGCTTCCGTAACAGGGGCGTCAGTGAAAGGTTTAAAAGGTTGCAAGACACTAAACAAAGATCCAGATCCGAAAAATCCACTAGAGGGCAAGGAGGAAAGGTCTGCATTATGTATCTCATATAACTCTTATCCAGGAAAGAATAATTTTTTATACCAGAGAACTTTAATTATCAATTAATATAGTTAAAAGGGAAAAAAAAGTTGAACTTGTACTAGGAAGTTGGATTTGTATACAGCTGATTGTGTTGACCCATCACATGAAATGTACCATTTTGTTGAAAGAGTACATGTATATTGTTGTACCACATGATCTTCCTCATACATTAAAACATTGGAGACATTTATAGGAGGGATTATTTTGGCTGCTTTATGTCAGCAAAAAGCTGCAGATATAGTACTTTCCAAATTTATTACATCTATGGATCGATGCACTGAAATGCACCCTATATCCTAATTTTTAATTTTATATGTAAAGGGATGTTTTGTTTAGCCTTTTGTTTTTATAGAAATGATCATTTATTTTCTGTTCTTTATTTCATCGAATAATAGATTTCTTTGCATTTTCCTATTTCATTAATTTTGTCTTAGGAAAATGAAGCATGTCAACTTACATTACGTAACTATATATGTCTTGTGTGTGCAAAATATCACTGTTCAATCCAACAAACTCTCATAGTTAGGAAGAATTTAAACGATGCAGCCAACGGGTCGGGAACCAAGTGGTACATTACCTAATTATATGATGCACAAAACAGAAACTACAAAAGCCCATAAACAATGCTGTCCACAGAAAGCACATTGCTCTATTAGACAAAGAAACTTCTCATTTTCACGAGTTCTCAAAACTTAAGACTGACGAAATTATCTTACTGATTCTTGCAGCAGATAACTTTCGAGTCTTTTAACTTCTATCTTCACACTCAGGTATGTGATCACTTTTCCGGGATTTGTAGACTGTGTTTACCTTGAAGCCCCTAATGACGTGCTACTTGATAATGGTTTGGGTGATGTAATATCTATCCGGAGTAGAAAGCAAGTTGGAAACTCTCTGTGGTGCTTTGTTTTGTTTTAATCAATAGTTTTGCATTTCACCTATTTGGCTCTGTCATCTTCATGATGCAGCTTGTCTGATGCTGTTCTGTGGAATCCACATCTGACAATGGAAGCATGCTACAAAGACTTCGTCTGCGTTGAAAATGCCAAGGTATTGATGTTACATGAATGTGTTGCCGATGCATCCATTGAATGAGTTACACCCCCAATAAATCATAACAATACTTGATTGCTGGTTGAACAGTTCTTTTGATGCTATTCCTAATCCAACAGGTCTTCATTACTAATTATTCATCATGAAAGTTAATTATGTTTTTTGTCTTGTTTACCTCAGATTGGAGAAGTTCATCTAGATCCTGAAGTTTCTTGGACTGCGACTCAACATCTAAGCACTGCATGAAGTGTTCACGTGCATCATTTTCCCTTTTTTTTTTTTTCAATTTCCTCTTTACTTTTCTTTTTTTAACTCCTGTTTTGAAGAACTTTTGGGTAAAATAGAAGTTGTACTTCCTAATCTAATAAAAATTTTATCAGGTTGATGTATCTTTGATTGACAATGAGTCTGTATAAGTATTCTTCTCTATTAGCTGGTAATAAAATTACAAGCTCTCTCTCTCTCTCTCTCACACACACACACACACAACTGTCTTCTCACTACATAATTCTTATGAATCTAATTGTTCGTTGCCCAATGTATGTCTTGCCTAGTGTTAGCCCCTTGACGGTTGTCCAAGGGAAGACATGGGCATTTCAAGGCCATGCCATGTCTTGGAATACTTTGGATTTGGTTAGATAGCCATGAGGATTGCTCAGGGGGTTGTCAGCGTGCACAAGATGCTCAGCGTGCACACAAGATGCTTAAAAGGATGCTCGGCATGCACTGGGGTGCCCAGTGGCACTTTTGTAAATATGGCGAAAAGTGAAACTTGGAGTTTTGACTCGGGATCTTTATGGGAGGTACCTTGAGTCCATAGAAGCTGGTTGGCGCAGACGGCACTCAATTTGGATGTCGGGAAAGGCCTGAAAGGCCATTATGACTCCTCAAGCATGGGTGATGTTTACTCCTGTCAGAGTGCTGGATTTCCTTAAGACTATATTAGGGGGGGTCTGTTGAGCACATCGGTTGGGCTATGGCATGGCTTGCTTAGAGGGCTTAGCCAACGTGCATGGGCACGTGTTGCACCACTCCAAGATGGTTGCACAAGTGGGGAGCATCCAAGATGTTAAAGGGCAAATAAGTGGGTACCGATACGCGCGCTGGTGTGCAGCGGCTCGCGTGCGGGCGTGCAGGTGGGCGCGCGGGCTGGCGTCCAACCTAGTGTGCGTAAGCATCTAGCTCGGCGTGCGCATGGGCGTCTAGGTGGTCGTACAGCCACGGACGCATGAGGGTTCAAACATGGCGCGCAAAGAAGGGCACTAATGTGTGCGCCGGCGTGCACTTTGGTGTGCACCCGAGCGTGCGCACGGGCGTGCATGGTTTGGCACGCCGTGCACTCAGAGACATATATATGTGGGTGCAGATTGGTGGACTTGGCTTGGGCTAGGTTCACAAGGTTGACTCAGATGTGGCTAGAGCATGGCAACACAAAGTCATGGCTTGCGGTTACAAGAGGTGGTGGCTTAGTGGGCTCGGTCGGTTGGGGGAAGTTACTAGCACTTCCCACTTATCATGGGAAGTGGGGGAGTGCTGAGTAACCTCCCAAACATGTGGCACAATTCTGAGAGGACCAATACACAGGCGGTTAAAGATGGTTTCCTCCACTATGCAGAATGTAACTTCTTGTGGTTATGTGGCATGAGCAGAACATGCCAACAAGTCTAGCAGTTGGGCTTGTCAACTGCATTATAGTGCTGGCTCATTTAGAGGGTGCCAGCACGACCCTAGGTGGATGGGGGTGTCATCTATCATCTTAGTGGGCAGTTATGGGCGGTTTTGAGAGTGGCCTATATAATGCTAAGGTGGGCTTTGTAGAGGGAACAGAGAAGAGGGTGTGAGCCTTGGTTGTTCCTTGTACGAACTCATGTTCCTTTGTAATATGTTTAATATGAGCAAAGGTTGGGACTTGTCCTTGTAACTGTGTGTGCCTTCTTTACATTTCTATACTGTGTGTATTGTGTTGTTGTGTTGGCTGAGACTTGGTGGCCCCAAGTGCCATTACAGAGGCAAAAATTCGTGGTGTAATTTAGCCCTGTGACACCTAGCAACATGCTAACAGGGAAAGATGGAGCAGAGACTTATTGCATGAATGGTTCTCCAAGATTAAACCTACATCCTCGCACTTGCCTACTCATGTGTTTTACCCCTATCCAAATTGAGTTTTACATAGCCAGAAAAATACCTGAAAAAAAAGAAAAAAAAGAAAAGAAAAACAGGCACGTAGATATAAAAACACAAACAAATAGAACCAAATAGAATTTTTGCTGAACATTTCAATAGAAATCCAAAAATGTATCCAGATATGCATCTCAATTGAAATGACAAATGCAGAAAAAGTTTGCAGCCCACAAACCAGCGAAAACCCTAGCGAGATCAGAAAAGCTCTACTACAAAGGATTTACAGTCTCGGAAACAACCTAAAAGACAACATTGCAATGAAGCATGCCAGCAATATGATCAGCCCCTACAGCCCAAAGCCAATACACCCATTTCTTGGTCTTTTTCTTCATCTGCTAAGCATAGAAAGACTGTTGGTTCCTCCACTGATAAACCCTCCTGCATTGGCCACATTTTGCTCAATGTCCTCAATCTGTTCACCCTGTGTCTCAACCAAAACCGCCATGTCGAGAAACACCTGATGGAGCTTGTTCAAACTCCTCTAGTCCTCTGGATGTCCATCACTGCCTCATGCCTCTCCCTGTTCTCCATATTCAACTCTGTCTTCCCTTCGAAGACCTCGAGTTTCACACTCCCTGAAACCATCTTCTCAACCACTTCCTCACTGGGCGTTTCACCGGTGGCGTTGTAGTACCTCCTCATCAGAGCTTCTTTATGGTCTGACAAAATTCTCTCTCTCAGTGACTGGAAATCATTCATCATGATTCATGTCCTTGAGTTTGGCCCTCAAACCATTCGTGACCGTTATCCTCGTTCGATCAACTGTGCTTCCTTCCTCGTATGCTGCTGATATCCTCCGATTGGTCAGGTTCGATTTGTCGAGGGCTTCTAGCATCTCCTTAACAGTCTTGGCCTTGCGGAGGACTCCATCCGGTCCCTCAACCCTCGGAGGACTTTTGGTGCTGTGAGTGGATTTGGTCTCTTCATTTAGGGATTGAAGATCAAACAGGAGATTAGTGATCTTTTCCATTTCATCCTCGATTTTTTCGACTTCTTCGAAGAACTTAGAGAGGTTCTTTTCATCTATGGGGCAGAGTTGGCCTTTCTCCAAGTCAGTCTCTGCTTTGAGATCAATCTCTGACTGTTTCTTCAATTCCACATAACTTAAAAATGACTCTGTCATTAAATCATTCATCTTGACTGCAATTCTTCGAGACCCACCTGCAAAGATATCAAGAAAACAATATGATTCAATATAAACAATCATATACACAAGAAAACAAGAAAATGATATAATCCTATATAAACAATCATCATATGCATATGTATATGTACATATATATATATACACGAATAACTACACACATAAATAACACAAAGCAAGTGAATTTTAAAAGAGGAAATGATGAGGAATTTTGATACCTTCTTTTCAGATGCGAAATTAAAAGATTAATTTCTTGGAATCAAAGCTTTGAGTTGAAACTTGAAACCCACCACCAATATAATCTGAATCATCAAAAGGATTTAAACTTTATGATGAAATGTCAAAAAAAAAGGAACGAGTATATGAAGAAAAGAAAAGAAAAGGGTTAGAAAAATCTCTGAGACTTCAAAAGTCCTGAATCTTTAATCAAATTCATTGAAAATCAGAAAGGAAATGAAGAAATTGAAAATGGGTTTGTTCGAACCTTCGAGAAGGGTCTATCTGCTTTAAGTCTTCCAAATACCGATTCTCTCTCTCTCTCACTCACTCACTCTTTCTCTCTCTAGGTTTTGGGAGTTATAAGAGACCGAAAGATCGCGATCATTGGGGTTCAAATATTTGAAAACTTCCGTTGATTGGAAATAGCCGTTACGTTATATAATCCCGCTGAAGTGGGAGGATACACAATTGCCAAACGGCAACATTTCACGATGGCATTTTACAGTACGATGCCATTTCGTTTGGCAATTCTTATCTTTAGAACGACAATGTTGTGCTGTCGTAATATTGTGCAATTCTAGATATGATAATTTATCATGTTTATTAAAGCTCAAAAAGGAAAAACAATATGATAATTTATTTTGAAAAAAAAAAAAAGAATTAATGTTACAAAAATAGGAATTGGAATTAATTATTTTGGGGTGGGCTTGAGCCCACTCAAGCCCCATTATGGGATTTTTACTTCTTAGTAGAGACCATGTTCATTAGGGCAAAAGACCTTTCCCCTCTCTTTTGCCACGTCACCACCTACAAGAATCTTCTGTCCCAAGTTCTCACGACCTGTTACCGGGAAAGAGACCTAGGAGGAAAAAACCTAAAAAGATGATGTGGTCATGCACCATTTGATCAATTTTAGTACTTTACGATGATCAAATATTCACACAGGCATATATAATTTTGCAGGATTGAAATATTTTGTGTCTAATTGCAGAGGCATGTGGTTGATTTCTACATTTCTCACTTCCCGTCTGGCTATGGTGCTAAGGTGAGTCCATATGTGGATGAATTTGACATTAATAAGTCAAGTAAGACATATCTCCCAAGAAGGGTTAAATTAAAATTCAACCAAAATCTTGTTAATTAGTTCACGTTTAGTTTAATTGCTTGCAAAGTGAAAGCTTACAAAAAAAAAAAAAAAAAAAAAAAAAAGGCAAAACAATAGGAAAAAGAGTATATTATCACCTAAATGGTAGACATAGGAAAACGATGTTTACTACAGGGTAAAAACAAGACAAAGATAGACAAAACAAATTTAAAATAACATTAACGCAAATAGCTTGTAATACTAATCATCAGGGTTTCTCCTGCGAGGCTTCTTCCCAAATGGTCTTGATTGTACCCCAGTTCCCGGCAGGGATAGCATCAAACTGCTTAGGGTTCTTCCCAAATGGCATTGATTGTACCGCAGTTCCCGGAAGGGATAGCCTCCTCGACGTCCTCAAAAGCTTCCTTACGAGCGTCAAGCAACTTCAAGTCAACATCACTCTCCACACCACTCTCCAAAGCCTCTATGGCTTTCGTGACACGTCCTCCACTTGGTCCTTCTTTACTCGCATGTCCTTCAGTTGGAGTTGTGATGTTGGAGGCCACAGGAGCTGTGTTGCTGACCTCAATCGGAGTATTGTTGGGAGGGGGAGGGGGAGGTGGAGTGGTG